TGTAACAATATATCAAGGTCCTCAGAACTCTCTGAGTCGCTTGTGTTCTCAGGCGTTTTTAATTCGGTCAAGTCTGGGTAGAGCCTTCTCCTATTTTTATCTTCAGGCTCTTTTGCCTTCTCACTACTGTTACTTTTAATACTCTCTGCCACTTCACTACATGATCCTTCAGATTTTTCCTCATGCAGTTGCTCAAGAATAGCTTGACCCTCACTCACAGCTTCCTGGCATTTACCATCTGTAAGGCAACCACGGACCATTTTCCAAAGGGGTATCACCCCACCCTCTAATATGCCCTGCTCAGAAGCAAAGTCAAGATCTTTGCCTAATTTATCCCAACTAGGCACAGTAAGGCTGCCCGAAAATGCAAACCACGGTGCAGCGATATCTATCTTCTGTAAAAATCTCTGTAAAGTACTATGTTTCACTTCCAGTCCCTTGGAACGTAACAGGCCATCTAGGGCCAGGAGAAGCGGACTTGAAGATGCGGCACCCATGACGCAACAACAAAGAAAGCACAAAAAAAAGAAAGCGAAAGTAGGAGCGAAAGTACACAGTGCAGCTGCAATAAAATGTAAGGCTCTCTCTTTCATTACAGAGGAGCTGTCCCGCTTTGGTCGCGGATCCCACTTACTAGGGACTAACCCCGCTTTGATCGCGGATCCCACTTACCTGGGACTAACCGGTGCACCACCCCTGACTGCTGAAAGTTCTGGTTCCCGGGTCTCAGCACCACTTGTCGCGACCCCCTGCCCGCAAGGAAGACGCAACTCAGGAATCTTCTTTCAGCAGTTTATTCAGGCCCTTGATATTTCTTCTTCTTCCTCTCGGATGCCCCTCCCAGCCTTAATAAAGCATCCCAAGCCCCAATGCAAAGCTGCCGCGTGGAGCTTTCTCACAGGGTGGTGAAAAATCATGTGCCAACTTTCCCAGATAAGAAGTTGTTTGTCACAGAACACAGCGGAGCCAGCGTCATCTTGTAATGGCGACCATAGTCTGCAGAAACGGCAGAAGCGGCTCACCACACTGGGAGCCCATGTCTGAGATGGCCTGGGGGGAGCTCCTGAGTCTTGGGACTCCTGTTTGTGCAGTCTCCTACCCTGCACTCCCTGGCACCCTTCACCCTCATGACGCACCCCCACCACACCCACTTCCCGGCACCTGGCACAGCCTCATGTGACATTACTGGTTAGCCTCACTCCTGTGAGCCATCTGGGGAGCTCTCTGCTGTTTGGAATCCAGCATTTACCCACAGTCACCGGAATCCAAACCAACAGCTTTTGGAGAGTGGCCAGTTCAGTTGAGGTTGTCACCTGGTTGCCTTTGTGGTTTGGCTCCCTGGGGACAGGGAGGACTGTAACCTGGGTGGCAGGTTTGTAACTCATTTGCTGATATTCACAGGGGTGCAGGTGATCTGGCTTGAGCTTTTGGGGGGACCTAAGTCTTTGCACTAGTAGCTCGTGTAAGTAGTAATGGAGCATTTGTTCCCTTGTTCTCCCGGAGGAAGAACCTGCCCCCACTGCTGTGTGCCTGCCCCACGGCCCACCCTCTTGCTGGCCTGCAGGCAAGAAGCTGCACACTGATGGCTCAGGGGTTCTCTGCTGGGTGGCTCTGGGGCTTTCCTCTTAGACTTGGGCCAAGTGTCTTCTGTTGACAACAGAAGCTGGTTCAAGCATGATGTCTGCTGGGACTTGGCCTCTGCGCCATCCCATCATGCTCCAGTGTAGTCGGATGGCATCCATTCTTGTCTACCTGAGGAGGTGGCTCAGAGGGAGATGAGAATCGGAGCATTTCCCACAGTCTGTGGTTCTGAAATCCAGGGTGCTCTCGATCTGTGTTAGCATGTGTACTCTCAAAGTAGTTTATAAAACATGTTAAAAATATTCTACATTGTTTGCCTAGTGAGCGTGAAACCTGGCGTCCATGCCCAAGGGCATTGGGAGTTAAGAACATAATTCAGGGGGCTGGGGTTGTGGCTGGGCGGTAGAGTGCTTGCCTAGCGCATGCGAGGCCCTGGGTTCAATCCTCAGCACCACATAAAACTAAATAAAAACAAAGGTGTACAACTAAAAAAAAAATGTAAATCATCACCTTTAAAAAAGAAGAAGAAGAACATAATTCAGCTAGCCAGCCTGCTTTATTTTCTTATCTTTATACAACTAGTGTAGTCATGGTTTTGAATTTTTTTCTTTCATATATTTCATCTTTGCAATTGTGTTTGTCAGCTATGTAACAATAGTTACATAACAATTAGTTACAAACAGCAGTTTAGTATGATAAGGTTAGTCTGCCCCTCCCCCATGTTTAGCCATTTAGGTTACATCTGCATGTTTTTAACATTGTAAATGGCACTCGAATATATTTATGCATGTTTTGCCTCTTAAATTATTGTGGCTTCTTAATGTTCGTGTGTGTGTGTGTGTGTGTGTGTGTGTGTGTGTGTGTGTGTGTTGCTGGGGATTGGACTCCAGGACTCACACAGGCTAGGCCACCACTCCTGTATTTGCTTTTTGAAGAGGGATCTTCTGCCTAGTAAATCTTGTACATTCAGCAGTCACACTGCTGATGGCCCTAGAAGAAACTTTTACTGTAAACTTCTCACTGTTGTGACATAGGTTTTCCCCCAATTTGGCTAGCTTAGCTTTAAAATGTGGCCCTGACCTGCGTTCTTTGGTCCCTGGTCATGTTGGGTCTTCTGTCTTGTCTTTTCTTAGCTCTCTGTGCCTGGGTTCTGCGGGAGGCCTTTCCCGGGGACAGCAACAGGTGACACTCCATGCCCCTGGTTTTGGATGGACTTGTGATTTTTTGATACCCAGGTGGCTTGTGCAGCCTTATTTCCTGCTAGTAAATTTGTTTATGTGCAAAGACTCAATAGAATGAGATTAATAAAAGTGCTCTTGAACTTGAACAACTCTAAGAATCCTTATTTGATGTAACAAGGTTGATCTGGTTTTCACTGCCCCTTTTATGGTGTTTTAACTTTTCATTTTATGGTTTTCAGTCTGCAGAAGTTAGGGTCAGTCTTCATCAGTTTTTCCTCCTGCGGTAGCTTTCATTACTTATGGAAACTTACTAAGATTGAAAGGGTGAAAGGGCCTGAACCCCGATACTGTTTCAGTGTTTGGAGAGGATTAGCTGGATGCATCCCTCCAGCCTGGTGACCCGTGACCAGCCCCGTTTCTTGGCTGGACAGCCAAGCAGCAGTGTGTTTGTGTTCCATAGGCTGGTGAGGGGCCAGGAGCGTGTCCTGCCGCAGGCAGGGGCTGGAGTAAGCCAGGTGCCACCTCCGCATGTTGGTTTTTCTTTCGGCTCTAGCCGGCCCTGTCCCAGACCTGAGAAAATGCTCCGGGGGCTCAGCCGTGCTGTGCCAGGACCTCAAGACGGCGGTGGACTGCAGGGCCCTGAAGCACTGCAGCAGACCCTGTGGAGCAAGCCCACCGCGGTGAGCGCCTCGCCCAGGCGGCCTGCCCTGCCTTCCCTCCTCCAGACCCTCCCTCCAGATCCTCCGAGCACTTCCTCTCCCCTTGTGTGCTCGCCCTTCATCATGACCCTGTGTGGGAGGCAGGGCCTGTCAGGTCTGTTACTGTCCGATTCACTAGGAAGTGAACAGGGTTCCCTTCCCCCAGGTCATGCCGTCTTTTGATGACCCTGTGCTGCTTTCTGGGCCACTCTGTAGGTCCCACTTCCCACCTTAGATAAGGGTCCCCTGGGCACGTGGGCATAGCTCATCCTTTGTCACTCACTCCACAAATATATGCTAAACTTTTCAAATCTTCCCATTTCATATTTCCTCTAAACCCTCTCAAACAGGCAAACCACAGATTGAGATCCTAGAGCTTAAAACTTTATTTCCAACTACAACCACAGTGGGAAAGATACCACTGGTTTTCATTTAAATGATGTTAAATGCAGCGTTTTAATGTGGGACTCTGAGAAATAGTGAGACCACAGACCTCGTGTGCATTCTTCATGTCACCTAACACACCGTGGCCAAGCTCTGCTGGCTGCACCAGTAGAATGTGACCCTGCTCCTGGCCCATTCTGGGATGTGCTGAGTGTCACATGGTACAGGCTGTGTGATGAGTAGATTTTGAATTCCAAACTTGTCAGTGGCCACTAGTGTTTCTTCATTAAAAACAAAATACCTGATTAAATAACACTGTTCTTTCAGAAATAGTTTCTGAATTATTTATTGCAAATTGTCTTCTGTGGCCAAAACTACTCTTTGATTTGGTTTCTAATTTGCATTCAATCTTGTTTTTGAACACTGCTTCCTATTTTTCTGAGTTTAATGTGTATTAAGTGAGGACTTCAGAACTTGCTTGACTGGATAGTCTCCTGGGTGCCGGGCTCTCTTTTGTTACACCCTCAAGCACAGTAATGGCTGACTAGGTCTAAAGGTTCAGATTGGTTTCTCTGAACTCAGCTGAGCTTACAGGTGTCCCATAATCTCATCCAGATATGTTAGCCTGTTCTGCAAGTGTTGACAGTTAACATCGAGAAGGGAGCCTGTGGGTGCCTCCTTCAGAGCTGTGAGAACGAACTAGAATTTCTGTGGCTGCTGGGCCTGGTGGTGCCCAGGCTTGTTAGGAGGCTGGGTTTGGTGTAGGTCCTAACTGAGCAGAAGGTGATCAGGTGCCAGTGGAATGTACAGCAGCATAGTAACTGGCTGGCGCTGGCGTCCCCGCTCTACCCACTGTGGGATATGGTCAAAACCCACCATTTCATCTTTCTGAGCTGTTTCTTCAGAGAAGTTGTGAGCACTCATTTGAAATTGACTTATAGCACCTGAATTGAGCAGGATGCTAAAGGGGAGAGGGGACAGGAAAGGGTTTCTGTCCCATAGAAGCACAGGGTGTTCTCCCCAGTTCACCTGTCCTTCCCTGTGCTGTTCAGGTCTCCTCGTGTACACGGTGGGCACCAGGATTAACAGTGGAACGTGGCCTTGACCATAGGCTGGTTATTAGGTAGAATAGGATAAAGGCCATGAGGGTTTCCGGCTGTGGGGGGTGTGAATTGTGACCTACAAATAACATCTCGGCTTCATGTTCTTTCCTTTTAGAAATCCCTTCCGTGTGACATATGCAAACAGGTCATCACCGCGGCTGGCGACATGCTGAAAAACAATGCCACTGAGGTGAGTGGGGGCTGGAGTGGGCTCGGCCTCATGCCCCGTTTTTCAGGAGAGCTGTGACTCTGAGGATTGTCTAGGGGTGGCAGATGTCTTTGGTAAAGGGCCAGTAGGAAGGATTTTCAGCCTTACAGGCCACATACTGTTTCTGTCACGTAGTCTTTTTGCAAACCACTTTAAAAATGTAGGTCTGTTTTTTGTTTGAGGCTGAATGCAGTAGGGGAAGGGCCCGGCTTGCTGACCCCCGGACTACAGATTAAATACCCGAGATTGATTGGGGTCTGATATGCCTGTCAGCGTCCTGCTTGGCCCTGGCTCACCTTCACTGTCCTCTGCTCAGAATTTTCTGTGCCTGTAAGACCACAGGTCAAAGAATCTTTGCTTTGAATTTTGATGCCATGAAGCACAAGGTGGCTCGCCTGGTGAACTGATAGACCCCTGGGCCACCACTAGCTCTTCTCCTGCCCTCTTCCCTGAGGCCTGGCTGATTTGCAGGCTTGCTTTTCCTTCTTGCCTTCAGCCATTTGCAGGGAAGAGGCCTGTTCTGATTCTGACCCTTGCCATTGTCCCTGGCAGGAGGAGATCCTCACTTACCTGGAGAAGATGTGCGACTGGCTTCCTAACACGGACCTGTCGGCCTTGTGCAAGGAGATGGTCGACTCTTACCTCCCAGTCATCCTGGACTTGATTAAAGGGGAAATGGTAAGTGATGGGGAACAGGCTCTTTTTTCTAGGTGCTTCCAGGGCCCAGAGGAGATAGTGGCCCAGAGCAGTGATTCAGTTGGGAAGTCTCTTTGTGGCTTTGTATTTTTTTGAGGAGCTTTTCATTTTGATTCTGCCATTCAGAAGAACTCTGGCCCAGCAGCCCCTGTGGCCTGCCAGGGTTGGTGAGGGGCAGCAGATGGGCTGCTGTGAACCAGCTAATGTTTACAGGTGCCAGTTGAGTAACTCGTGTTGTCTTTGGAGCAAACAAATAATTTCATTTCTCTGAATTTCTGTGAATTTATAATTTAAGGGGGTTCAGCGGTAAGGGTACTCAGCCTTCACCTATCAGGTACAGATTGTGCAGAAGCCACGTGCTGGAGGCTGTGTTTTAAAGGCCCTGAGAAGGGCAAGTGTTTAAGAAACCGTGGAGGGCCATCAGGGCAGGAGTGTCCTGAGACAGGACGTGGTTTTGGTGAGGAAGGCAGAGGTCACATTGTGGAGGGCCTTCCACGCTGTGTCCCAAAAGGCTCTGTCCAGGTTCCATTGCCAGGAGCAGCAGCAGGGGACTCAGGCAGGATACTGCGAAGGTTCTGGCAATGTGAGCGAGGGGGGTGGGGAGGAACAGATGCACATTCTGGAGGGCGAATGGGCCGGCCTTGGCCATGGAGGGGGTGTACAGGAGAGAAGAGTTAAGAGTGTCTCCAGCTCTCTGGGAAGATGGGGGTGGAGTCGTTTGCTAACATGGAGGTGGAGAGGGGAGCATGGGGAGCAGATAGGGCAGGATGGAATTGGAAGAGTTGGAGATGTCCCCGTGTGTGTGTGTGTGTGTGTGTGTGTGTGTGCGCGCGCGCGCGCGCCGGCATGCATGCATCAGTGTGAGCGTGCACCTGGAAGGTGTGTAGAACCAGTGCATGGCAGTAGCGTGTGGCTCAAGAGTTGCGGATCTTCCTTTAAAAAGGAAGAGCTGACAGTGAGTGGCAGTCATAGTCCAGGAGCCCACGGCTACTGTGTGGTTGGGCGCATGGGTTGGAATTTATTTCCTTCCTTTCTTCATCCATCCGTTCCTCCCTTCCTCTTTCCCTCCTACCTTTCTTTTTTCTTTGGTTTTTGTGCAGTGCTGAGGTAAGCTCAAGGCCTCCAGGTGTTAGCGGGGCGGGGCTGTGGCTTTTGTGGCCTTCCCAGGGGAACGGAGCAGCCGGGTTGTCGGGTGTGGTCAGTGTCTTCCTTTTCTTCCTGAGTTTCCGTGTGTGGGGGTCCTGCCCAGCCTCACACACGCCTGCAAACACTGCCAGGAGCCACATCCCAGCCCCTGTTGTTTCTGTGTAAGGGACTTGGGGAGAGGGACTGATTCCTAGGCACTCGGTAGCCTGTTCTGACAGGCGCGCACACACGCACACACACACACACACATACAGGGAGGGAGCTTTCAGCCGGCTCTCCTTCCCCCCAGAGCCGTCCAGGGGAGGTGTGCTCGTCCCTCAACTTCTGTGAGTCTCTTCAGAAGCACCTGGCAGAGCTGAGCCACCGGAAGCAGCTGGAGGCCAACAAGATCCCGGAAATGGACATGACTGAGGTGGTGGCTCCCTTTATGGCCAACATCCCCCTCCTCCTGTACCCTCAGGATGGCCCCCAGAGCAAGCCCCAGCCAAAGGTAAGGCGGGTGGGGCTGGCCCTGGGGACCCTTTGGAGGCAAGGTAGAGTCAGGGATGTGTGAGGGGTGGTTCGTGAGTGTGTGTGAGTGTGTGAGATGAGGTAGGAGGGGCGGCGCGTAATGTTCTCATACTGAGTCTTGTCCTTTCGCGTGACTCTGCCGGTACCAGGCAGTCCTTAGGTGGGGTACGATGCAGTCTCTAAAGATGAGATGCAGAAGTGTCCCCCTTTTGTTTAGTGGTGCTGGGGTTGGAGGCCATGTTCTGTATGTGCCAAGCACATGCTTGACCTTAGGCTGCACCCAGGCCTCCCCAGTCTGTGCTTCAGTGAATACTGAGTTGACTTTAAACCTACTGGTACTTGTAGAGCCTCTTAAAAACCCATTAGGAGCTGCTCGGTGGTGGCCCCCAGTGCTGTGGCCTGGGCAGGTGAAGACTCTGCAGGAGTCGGTCCTCTGCCACCAAGCTGCGTCCTCACTGCCCTTCTCTCTAGGCCAGTGGAGACGTCGGCCAGGACTGCGTGCAGATGGTGACCGACATCCAGACGGCCGTGAGGACCAATTCCACCTTTGTGGAGGGCTTGGTGGAGCATGCCAAGGAGGAGTGTGACTGTCTGGGGCCTGGCATGGCTGACATGGTGAGTGTGCCCCTCCCTGCTGTGAAGATGTCCTGACCCAGGGAGCTGGGCTCTGGAGACAGGAGTGGGGCACCAAGATAGCAGATCATTATTGCCGCGGTAGAGTTGGGAATTTCAGCCTGACTGCTCTGAGTTGAGGTGCTTCAAATAATCCCTCTCTGTTTTTCCCAGCTGCTTGAGTGGGGACCTTACATACACTTTGGGTAGTTGAATCTGCAGATAATAGAAAATGATGGAAGAACACTGCTTTTGTCAAACTTTGTCTTCTTCCTGTCACCGTACCTATTAGAAACGCTGGGGGCCAGCTGTTGAAAGAGCCTGGCGGTTCTGAGAGTGCCCACCTTGTGAGCCAACCTACACGGTGCCCACCTGGAGGCCTGGGTTCTGTGGGCTCGGCACTCCACTCTGTTAGTTCCTTAGGTGGTTTCATTCCTTGGACCCAATTCCCATTATTAAATTCGCTCATGAAATTGATGTGGAAAACCAAAATCCAACTTAGTACCTGAGTGCCTTCTGAAACCTTTGTGGGGGAGGCAGTTGGGATTCTGCTCTGGGTTCCAGAGCGGCCTTCCTGGGTGGAGCCCTGTCGGTGGCCTGACTCTCCTAGGGCTGTCAGCCAGGGGAGCAGTCTTTTTATCTTTTTATTATGAAAGCCTGGGAATCAGTTTGCAGTTGCTGTTGTAGGTGGTTTCTCAGGTAAACCCTCTCCTAGGGCTATTCGCGTTTCCCTTGGTTTCTAGTGAGAAGCGAGCACTAGCTTAGTGTGGCAGGAGCTGTTCTGAGAGGGGCTGCTGGCAGTGCCTCGCTTTGTATGAAATCAGGTCATTGAAAATCATTCTTGACTCGTCTGGATTTAAATTTTATAACCAGTCCTGTCTGAGAATGTGTAAAGGTTTCAAGAGTAACCTTGGATTCCTCATCAGTGGATCTGTAACTTCGTTCTCTCCCAACTGCAAACTGCTACGGAGCAACTTTTGAACGACCTTGGGGCAAATTGGCCATAAATAGAGAAAGACAAAATCTCTTTAGTTCTTTTGGTAAACAGTTTCAGAACACATTCTCTGTTCGTTTTCTGTAAGTTATAAAATAACGTCACTTGTATCTCATTAAAGTTTGTTTTGAGCAGATTATAAAATTCTATAGGAATTTTTTTAGAGGTGATACAGGGATTGAACCCAGGGGTGCTTAAGCAGTGAGCCACATCCCCAGCTCTTTTTAAAATATTTTATTTAGAGACAGGTTCTCTGAGTTGCTTAGGGCCTCACTAAATTTCTGAGACTGGCTTTAAACTCAAAACCCTCCTGCCTCAGCCTCCTGAGCCACTGGGATTACAGGTATGCACCACCGTACCTGGCTCTATAGGTAGGAATCTTGATAATCAGCAGTTAGCACTGTTGAAAAGGCTAGTTTGGTTTTTTTGGTTCTTTGTTGCAATAATTAATTTAACTGAAGAACTGTTTCTCTCTCTCCAGTGCAAGAACTATATCAGCCAGTACTCTGAAATCGCCATCCAGATGATGATGCACATGGTAGGTGGCAGGAGAGTCCTTGGTTAGCATTTTTGTCCTAAATGTTGCTGTTTCCAGATACAGTTTAGTTTCTTTCTTTCTTTCTTTTTTTTTTTTTTTTTAAATTCTCAAAATACTGAATTGAGGCCAGAAAGAACCCTCCTTGACCATCAGGCTCTCCACTTCAATCTCAGTCCCCCCACCCCCCCACCCAAGAAAGGCTGAAGGAAGAAGCTTGATCCCAGGACTGCCTTATGGTGGCCTGCTGGCCTGTGCACCTGTGAGCTGGCCGTCAGATTGCTAGTATCTGGCTTTAGCCCTGGGATCTGTAGTCGTTTGCTCTCTAGACCAACCCCAAGCATTGCCACCATGCAGCCTGAGTTTGGAGCTGGGGAGGGTGGGAATCCTGCCTGGCGGAGTTGGCCCTTTGCCCTGGAGTGGGGTCAGCTAGTGGCTGCTCAGGCCCTGACTCCTGCACTGGCGTCTCTTGTGTCCCGGTGACAGGGACATTTATTCCCTGTTAGACATGGGAAGCGGGCTGGCTCCTCTATGTGGGAACTGTGTTAAGAAGCTGGCTGGCCTGCAGCATGCTGAGCTGGGGAGCTGGCTTGGCCTTCCTAGATCTAATCTGAGGGCCAGAGCAGGGTGGGGTGCACTGTTCCCCTATGCTGCCTTTCTGCATCAGGATTGATGTCTGTCCTTGAGTTTGTTCCTAACACAGGGGTCCCTCACCTCTGGCCCTTCTTAGAATAGATCAGTTCCGTTGGAACCCAGTGAAGCCCATTTGTAGCTGAGTCATTGCAGTTGAGACCCTTGACCCACAGAGCCTGGCAGGGTAACCATTGGGCCTGTTCTGCCTACTCCAGTCATCTGCCAAATAAACCAGGCACAGCAGTTTATTTGGGATCATTGCTCACAGCCTGCCTTGTAAAAATGTTTAAAGGCAAACGTTACGAAGACGTGCAGCTGAAGTAGGTGAAAATAAGCTTTCCATGTGACTCGACCTAATGAAGTACTTCCTTGTTGCTAACATGAATATTTTTCCTTATAAATACTGTGAGAAAATATTTTGAAAATACAGATAATACTTCACACAAAAATCATTTGCATTTTCATAAAAGTCTGTGGGGTCATTTTTTATATATTGCTTTGTATTTTGTAGTTTGCATCCCCCTCCCGATTTATTGATCACTAAGTTCCACAAAGGTGATATTAGTGTACAGTGCACCTGTCAGTCACTGGTTAAAGAATAATGTAGTAACAAGACACCCTTATGAAATTTTTAAATTTTTTGGCATTATATTTTTGTTCAACCCCATGCCATCACAGGAAGGTATCTGTTAGGAAGACAGATTTTTTTGTTTTTTATTTTCTCTTGATAATTCATTTAATGTTAGCCTGCCAATGCTGCTAGATTGTTGTTCTAATCATAAACTTTTATTTTCATTTGATGATTTTAGCACCTAGCATATGACCGAGGGTAACAAATTCTTCTCTATATTTTTTTCTTTGGGTACTAGGGATTAAACCCAGGGGCACTTAACCACTGGCCACAACCCCAACCCTTTTAAATATTTTATTTAGAGACAGTGTCTTGCTGAATTGCTTAGGATCTCACTAAATTGCTGAGGACTGAACTTTAATCCTCCTGCCTCAGTCTCCTGAGCTACTGGGATTACAGGCATGCACCACACGAGCCAGCTTTCTCTATTCATTACCTTATGGTTGTGTTCACTGGGTCCACATTGATCAAGAAAAGAACCTAGGAAATATGTAGATTCCTGGGAAAGCTGGGAATGGAACCACCATTTGACCCAGCTATTGCCCTTCTTGGACTATTCCCTGAAGACCTTAAAAGAGCATGCTACAGGGATACTGCCACATCAATGTTCATAGCAGCACAATTCACAATATCTAGACTGTGGAACCAACCCAGATTCCCTTCAATAGATGAATGGATAAAAAAAAAATGTGGCATTTATACACAATGGAGTATTACACAGCACTAAAAAATGACAAAATCATAGAATTTGCAGGGAAATGGATGGCATTAGAGCAGTTTATGCTAAGTGAAGCTAGCCAATCCCTAAAAAACAAATGCCAAATGTCTTCTTTGATATAATGAGAGCAACTAAGAACAGAGCAGGGAGGAAGAGCAGGAGGAAAAGATTAACATTAAACAGAGACATGAGATGGGAGGGAAAGGGAGAGAAAAGGGAAATTGCATGGAAATGGAAGGAGACCCTCATTGTTATACAAAATTACATATAAGCCGTTGTGAGGGGAATGGGAAAAAAAAAAAAAACAAGGAGAGAAATGAATTACAGTAGATGGGGTGGAGAGAGAAGATGGGAGGGGAAGGGAGGGGGGATAGTAGAGGATAGGAAAGGTAGCAGAATACAACAGTTACTAATATGGCATTATGTAAAAATGTGGATGTGTAACCTATGTGATTCTGCAATCTGTATGTGGGGTAAAAATGGGAGTTCATAACCCACTTGAATCTAATGTATGAAATATGTCAAGAGCTTTGTAATGTTTTGAACAACCAATAAAAAAAAGAGTAACAAGAGAGGGATGGGGCTGTAGCTTAGCATATGTGAGGCACTGGGTTTGATTCTCAACACCACATAAAAATACACAAGTAAAATAAAGGTATTCTGGGCTGGGGTTGTGGCTTGGTGGTAGAGCATTAGCACATGTGAGGCTCTGGGTTCGATTCTCAGAACCAAATAAATAAATAAATAAAGGTATTATGCGTATTTACATCCAAAAAAAAAAAAAAAAAAGAACCTATTACACTAGGGTATAATTCAGAGTTCCCCAACCAAGTCTGCCCACTATATTTATTTGTTATTTTTATTTAGCTGAAGAAAAGGAAGTGAAATGCAGAAACATCCTGATTGGCTGCAGTTAGCATTTGCCTTATATGCACTTGGTTGTTGAAGCATCTGCTTCACATGAGCATGGGCTGATCAGGTGGCAGCCTGTGGCTGGCTGAAAGTTGATTACTGTGATTCGCTGAGACTCCATTGCTAAGGTTAGATCCAAATTGCTTACACATCAAGCTACAGTCCACTTCACATGGGCTGTTTGAGGCCAAACTTAATTTAACAATATCTAATTAAGTTCTTAGCTTTTAACATTCTGGTGATGTATGATCACTTTGGCCTGTGTTTAGCAAGAAATCTGTTAGGTTGGTTGAACCAAAATTCCCCTTTTATCTGTGATAGTTTCCTCTTAGTATATTCCTTTCTGACTTCCCCTCCACACAACCAATGGATAAGGAGATAAGATGATATCTGAGATAAGATCTTTCTGGAAATTGATGTATTCTTTGGCTTTCGTGTCTTTGCACTAGAAGATTTCAAGCAAGACGTGAAACTTAGTAAAAGAATAGCAGAATTTATTAGAAGAGAAAGAAGGGGAAAATACCCTCACAGGAGAGAGTGCTTTCTCTCAGGAGAGTGACAACTCACTTCTTTGTGAACTCAGTTTTTATTAGGACAGAAGGGAAGGTTTCTAGAGAATCCCACCTAAGTGTTAAACCACAATGCAAAGAAAAGACCATGAACTCCAATTTAAATCAAATTAAAGCAAGCTTGTAATTCTGACAGGCCAAAACCTGTGGGAATAGTAGACAGCCCTCCAGCTCTCTAGGAGTGTAGCTTTATAGCACAGAAAGTTGCAAAAAGGGGAGGTGTCTTGAGAACTTACAGATAACAGGATTTTTACAAGCATAACACAAAGGCAGGTAGTAGATTTAATGGTCCAGCACTTAGGGAGTAAATTTAGATCCTAACACCATAATTTATGAGGCACCATTACAGCTTCCAAGAGGGTCATTATCTGGCCAGGGAAAGCCAGAATTTATGAAGCACCACTAATGTTTCAGAGAGGGTTGCTATCTGGTCAGGGAAATCCAGGCATGGGTGAGTTCAAGGCACAGGCAGGCATTCCAAGCAAGTTGAGAAATCACAGTAATTTATAGTAAAGCCAAAATGGGCTCACAAAATAAAATGTGACGAGATGGTTCCCAGTCTTAAGAGGAAATTAGGCTGGGTTTATCACTAAGCACAACCTCTTTTGACTGATGGTAGGATTGTATCATATTTTTTTAGTCCCTACTGTGCATGTTTCTACTGAACAGAAACTCTAGTCATTTTGGTTTGTGTAAAGTCAAAGATCCTCTTTCATCCAGATCCATTCCAGATCAGTGTAACTTGTGCTTTTTTCTTTGATTTCTTTTTCTTTTTCTTATTAGTAAAGGAGTTTTGGGGCCTGTGCTCTTCAGCCCTAGATAAAAGAATGTGACAGTGGTCCATGTCATGTTTTGAATATATCCCTTGTTGCTTTTCCACTGAGGCTTATTTTAAAGCTGACTTTCTTTTTTTCTCTTCTCCCTTTTCCCTTTCCTAACTTCTGGGGAAACAGGTTTACCTTTTCCTATCCTAGGCCCAGTTATCTGTCCTTGAGCACACATCAATCACAGGAATGAAGTAAACAGATCTCTGGGGATGGAACCAGAAGGTTTAAGAAATGGTTATCTCTCAAATTAACAAATGAATTACATCAGGGTAAATGTGGACAGTAGCCTTTGAATCACCTCTTTAAAAACCCTCTGTTCCCAGGATAGGCAGAATCATAGCCTATCAGGACAAGGACCAGAACATCCTGAAAACAATAAGCTCCTTAGTCAAGGATTGTAAATACTGCAATCTTTTTATTAACAGATTGTATTTTTCACATTTATTTTTATGTGGGGCTGAGAATTGAACCCAGTGCCTCACACATGCTAGGCAAGAGCTTTACCACTGAACCACAACCCCAGCCCAAATACTCTTATTATTTTTAAAGCACAGCTGAGTTAGAATGGCCTTGTGTGAATTGTTTCAAAGAGAGACATGCTGAGAGTTAGCATGTAGGCTCATGTAAGCAAAAATAACTGAAAACAGGAGTGGACCTCAGCTCAGCAAACTGTCTTTATTAAGCAGTAGTGAAATGGCACATTTTCAGGGGAGAAAATGGTGACTGGTTAAAGGAGAGGTCTGTTTTTTTATAGATCTTAATGAGAGTTAATCATAGCAGAAGATTTCGTGTGAATTAATCATGAGAGACTTGGGACATGTTGGCTGAACAGTCAGGAAACTAGTTGTGCAGGTTAAAAATCTAACTCAGGAAAACAGTTGTAAAAGCTTGAAACTCTTTGTTACTGGGATAATAATCCAGAGCCCAGAGCCCATTTGTTTGCCTTCCCCTCCAGGATACTGGGAAAGGAGGAAAGACCAGAGAGAGCACAAGGCACTTTGTTTGCCTTTTCTCTCCCAGGACCCATTGTCCTCCCTCAGCCCTGGGGGTTGTCATTTCCCTTTTCTAGGGAGATGTTGTTTTCCATATTCTTTATATATATATATATATATATATAATTAACCCTTTAAACACCATATTCCCACTGTTCATGTCTACCTAGAACCACCACCATGTTCCTTGGCTTATAAATTTCCACTTATCTGTGCTGTATTCAGAATTGAGTCCAGTTCTATACTGAGGTCTCTACTCCCCTCCTGCAGTTGTCCTAAATAAAATTTGTTCTGGGGCTAGGGGTATAGCTTAGTGGTAGAACACTTGCCTAGCATGTGCAACACATTGGTCTGATCCCTAGCATTGAAAAAAAAAATCTTTACTGCTTTGTAAGGGTGAAGCAGACCAGTTACCCCCATCCAAAAGACCCTTGCCATAATTAAGCTTCTTTTCTTGTCAGAAAGAATTTTACAAAGGGTGTCAATGGGATATCAGCAAAAATTTCTGTGGTTTGTAGCTTCCTCTTTCTTATAAATGCCAGGTTTGCAGACAAAATTTGTGAAACCTCTGTCTAGCCTAAAAATGTGGGACAAAGAGTAACTGTTATGTACCCACCCAGTGACATGTAACCACCCCACTGAGTATAAATCTAAAAGAATTTTCAGATTCAGGGTCCAAAGCTTTTTAGGCTTTAGCCTCCTCTGGACTGTTGCAGCTAAAATAAACCTGATTTCTGGTGTCCAGCCACATCTGTCCTATATCAAGGGGACAGACATACTTAGATGTAAGGTATAAGGGGACAAATAGATGAAGATGGTGGGAACACAAGGTTAAGAGAATAATTCTATAAAATGAATTCACTGTACTGATTCTCCATATGCTTTCTTTGCTAAAAAGCAATCTGCCTTCAGCCCTACCTGGCCTTGGGGGACAGGAAAATCACATTCCTTGCTTTTTTTGGCTATACCTTTTGTTTCTTAATCTATTCTTTAGGTTTGGACAGGAGAGTCTGTTTCTTACAGACATGACATCATAAATCAAGTTGGAGTAAACTATTATGAACTTAATAGTTTCATATACATTGTATAATATTTATCAAAACTACTGATAAAATGTCTTCACAAAGCAGATTCAAAACAGGACTTGATAAAAGCCACAAACTACAGCTAACATGGGTACCTTGGTGATTATTATTAACCAAGACATGAATACCTTCTTTCTTATCTGACTTATAGTTAGGAGGCCCTGCACAAACAAGAAGAAAAATAAACGACTTATGAATATTATAATAACAAAAATGCACAGGAAATATTATTTATATTTAAGTCCAAAATAACGAACTTACAGATATTAAAGTTCAGCAAGGTTTCCAGATAGAAGGACATACTTTTCAACAGCTTTCCTCTAGCAGAGCAATAGTCAATAAAACAATGAAAGGGAAAAGTAAAGACCTAAAGGACTGAATCAATGGAAAAGAGTTTATCGCACAGGTTGGTAGACTCAGAGTTTTAAGTATGATGGCCTGTGGACAGGGCTCTAGCAAGGGTATTAATGCATTAGATGAGCATCCTACTCCTGGGTCTTAGGGAACCTGTGTGACAGGCTATAACCTCAGCCCTGCCTCTAGGAATTTCCAGGGGTCTCCCTTGGCAACCAGGTCCCATCTTAGACCCAACCTCTGGAATATTAAAAGTCACGCCCCTTGATCTGGTCTCACCTGAGTCCACTCGGCGGGCCTAACCTGGTCCCTCCCCAGCCTCCTCTATGGTTCTGGTTCTCTTTTTACCTACAACCCCAGGGAAAACCAGCACGTTCCCTGCGCTGATGGACTGAGCCGGCAGCTCTGCCCCACGCCCAGCTCCCGAAGCCCCGCCCCTTACGCAGAGCGTTTCTCAGAATGAGAAGGGGGGTAGCGGGCGGCAGAAGAGCGCGTCAGCGCACGCGCGAGGTAGCTCACTGTGTGCCCGTGGCCGCCATGACACTTTACGCTGCAGCTCGCATCTGAGATATATTCTTGCCTCAGTCCGCATCCTATCCGTCCAGGCCCCAGCCATCCAGGTATGGGCCGCGGGAGGCGGAAGGCTGGCTTCCTCTCGTCCGCTGCCGCATTTTATCCGTCTCTCCCCGCGCCATCCAGGTATGGGCCGCTGGAGGCGGAAGGCTGGCTTCCACTCGCCCGCCATCCCGGGGCCCCCTTCAGCCGCGGCCCAGAGCCCCGTGGCTCCGCCCGCGCCGCGCTCATCCTGGTAACCGCAGCCGCGACTTCGGGCTGCGCCAGCGGTGGGCGAGTCTCCTGCAGGCCTCAGCTGGGGAGCCCCGCGGCCTCTCCTTGCGGAGAGCAGAGGCCTCGCCTGCGTCGGGGTCCCAGTCCAGAACCTCGTGCAAGTCTGCTGGTCTGCCCACACCCAGCATGGGGTGAGCTCGGCCCGCTGCCCCTGGGCCTCGCTCACTGTCCAGCGCGGGTCTGAGAGTTCCCCGGGCCCTGGGCATGTTTGACACATTGCATTCAGATACCCAAGAGGGAGCTGATTTTAAAATACTCTTAACCCGCCTTCTGGGCAAGTGCATTTCATCCTTAATAAAGTGATGCATTTTAGCCTGGCGTGGTGGTGTACGCCTGTAATCCCAGCTACTTGAGGCTGAGGTAGAACTTGATCCCAAGTTCAAGGGCAGCCTGAGCAATTTAGGCAGGCCCTATCTCTACACAAAAAATTAGAAGGACTGGGGGTGTACTTCAGTGGTCGAGTGCCCCTGGCTTCAATCCCTAGTACTGCAAAATTCAGGGAGGGGGAAAAAAAAAAGCTTGGTCACTTATTTATAGATTCTTTCAATTTTGCACAGAAAATGTGCCAGTTTGAATTTTTTTTCCTCCTAAATCTTTGTGTTTTCCATTTTTTTTGTTTCTTATTACTGCACTTGCCAGGACTCCCAGCTGAATGGAGATTAGCATATAATTTTCATTCTTGCCTTGTTCCTGATTTCAGAGAAAATTAATCAGTATTTCACTATTAAATAGAATATTTGCATTTTTTAACGTATAAAATCTAATCCTTTCTAATGGCCTAAGTTATTATTAGCAATGTACACTGAAATAGATTAGTCATTGCTTTGTGTCTAAGGGAATATGTCAAATAACTTTTCTATGAATACTGTGAATTTCATTAATCAGTGATTCAATTTTTGTTTATTTTATTCTTGTGGTGCTGGGATTGAATCCAAGGACTCAGCGCTAGTAAGGCACCATATCACTGAGTCCCAGTGATTCAGTTTTATTCTTTTTTTCTTTTTTATTTTTTTAGTGATTCAGTTTTTAAGCATCCGTCATTCCTAGGATGAAATGAACTTAAATTATGATTTATACTTATTGTTCATTTCTCAACTGTTACCAATACTTTTGTATTATTTGTACTTTGTATGTGATCTGGCATATTTTTTAGTTGTACCCTTCTGGTGTTAGAAGTAGGAAATTACCTTCCCTCTACACTGGAATTATGAATTTCCTACTAATTTTGTGAAACTTTCTGTAAAACAATTTGCAACTTCTGTTTCCTTGTGCATGTTTTAAATATGATTCTTTTAATGACTGGATACAATGACATTTTCTTCTTCCTCCTCCTCCTCTTCTACCACTACCATCACCACCCACCACCACCACCACCTCCGCCATTTCCACTACTTCTTCCTTTTCCTCTTTCTCATCTCTTCTAGATTCTACCTCTTATAGTTCCTGTTACCTCCCAGTAGTCCATTCAAACTCCTAATCCATAAAATGGATTAATCCACTGATGAAGTCAGACCCCTTATAATCCAGTCGCTTCCCCCAAGCCGAAACTCTGAACACTGCAGCACTGGAGACCAAGACTTAAACACATGAGGCTTTGAAAAACATCCCAGATTCAAACCATAACAAATAGGTTGATTCTCTTTCTCAGAAATTAGGTTTTTTGGAGCCCATTGGGTGGGGTTGGGATGACAGCAGTGTTCAGGGCTTTGTAGTAATCCCTATTATCCTGTAAAATGCTAAACAAGTAAAAATGTTGGTCAAGGAGCCCCAAGAAGCCTAGTGTTTAAATAAAGTAGTGCTTTCTTAGATATGAGTCAGGGAATATATATTCTTAGGGTTGAAGGCACCACTTGATACATTTTATGCTTTTTGTTATGGGGAAATGGACAGCCAGATGTTCTTAAGACTTGAGTTAATTTACTAATAAAATGTTACTATTAACCTCTTTTGTATCATTGACAAGGATAAGAGTGTTGTTTTATATCTCTAGGGGAGAAAGGATTGTTCCAGTTTCACACAAGTTCAGTTTGCATTTGTTTGGATATGTGTTTTGAGTTGTCACTGGTAATTGATGTGCTACAATATCCAGGCTCATGAGTATGGGAATTCTCTGGAGGGTTGGATTCCCATGTCAGCTTCTGTCTTACTTATATAACTTCTCAATGTCTTTTCTTTATGAAGGTGACATGGAGGAAGAAAGAATAAGTGTTGGGTTACAGAAAAGTATGATGCAGGTAAGTAAAAGGTATAATGCTCTAAAAGAATATTTCACTTGATATCCTGCTGCTATTATAGAGCACAGGTTAGCAATCTGCTTTTTTTTTTTTTTTTTTGGATCACATGGTAAGTATTTTAGGTTTTGAAGGTCATAGAATTTCTATTACAAGGAAATTGTCATTTTAATAAAAAAATATTCATAGAGGAACATAAACAAATGTTTTATATATTGCAATAAAACTTTACTTACATAAGTAGGTGATAGGCTAGAGTAAGTGCATGTGCTATAGTTTGGTGAGCCCAGGCCACAATACTGTAAAACAGAGCCAGCTGTGGGCCTGACTTGAAAGATGTACAGGCTCTTGGGCCTCTCAGGATTGTGAGGGGGGGAAAAAAGGAAAAGTTCCCATTCACTTTCTGTGTTTTCATTCATTAAATCCTCATCAAGATTTAAACCTGAGTTTGATGTTGTTCTCAATGCCTTAATAGGAATATAGTAGCAGGTGAAGTTATTCTTGAATAAGGAAGAATTTCTGAGTAAGGAATAATATGATATTGTCCAATATGTGGTCTTGGTCCCATATCCTGGCATAGAGTTCCTAAAACCCTTCAAATGTCTGGAGTGATAAGAGTAGCTTTGTATGATGACTGTTGACCAGGACAGATAGCCTCAGGATGACTGCTGGTCCAGAAGAACTAAGGTATGCTTGACTCTTCAGCCCTATCCACTAACCTTGAAGTTGAGAGGTACTGAAGGTTAAATTGATTATTTAAATTGCTAATTTAAATCAGTCATGCTTTCTAGTAAAGCCTTTGTGAGAACCAAAAAGAATGAATTTAGGGAGCTTCTGTATAGCTGAATATGTAGAGGTTCCTGGTACGAGGCACCCCAATAGGCATGGAAGTTCTGCAGCTTTTCCTACCCTCCTATGCCATATATATTTCTTTATCTGGATAGTTCTCTGTATTTATAAGAAACCATAAGCACAAGGAAGTGTTTGCATAGATTCTGAAGGCCATCCCAGCATATTACCCAACTCAAGGACCCTGAGATGTAGCCATTTGGTCAGAAATATAAATGACAATGTACTAGTTGTTGTGTTGTTTGAAGAATGGGGAATTTTTGTGGGACTGAGCCCTCAACCTGTGGGATGAAGCTGTCCATGTAGATAGTGTAAGAATGTTATTGAATAACAGGAAACCTAGCTAGTGTCTGTTGGAGAACTGCTTGATGTGTGTGGAAAATTACCCACATACCTAATATCCAGTGTTCTGTGCAGGTTCGAAGGAAAATAACTTTGATTTTTTTTTTTTTTCTTATTTCATTACGATCAACTGCAAAGAGACTAATGTAGTATTTTAGAAGTATTTTGGCTTTTAGACAGGATTTGTTCAGTCATTAAGTATGTGTGGGTAGAAAGGGAAAGAGATCTGTTGACGGAGTCCTGCCATAGACTTGGGGAGTCCACAGAATCTTCTGAACCTCCCCTGAATTGATTCTCAGGTCCCCAGTGCTGTCAGCCTCACCCATCATCTCGCACACACTGGAGGAATTGTACCTTTCTGAACTGAATTTGTGGCATCTTTTAGGACTCGGTGACCTTTGAGGATGTGGCTGTGGACTTTACCCAGCAGGAGTGGGCTTTGCTGGATCTTGCTCAGAGGAGCCTCTACAGAGATGTGATGCTGGAAACCTTCCAGAACCTGGTCTCACTAGGTAAGATTGGCAATGTTGGTTCATGTAGTGGTTTAGAAAACATTTTTATCTACTAGTTGACCTTGTTCCAGGATCTGTGCTGAGGAATGGGAGTACTTGGTAAATAAGACAAACGTGGTCAGTAACCACAGGGTGCTTACGATCAGGTGGCTTCTTCATGAAAATGAACACGGGCATATTAAACTTGTTTTTTCTTTTTCTTTTTGTGGTTGAAAGCCTTGAGGCTTATTAAGTGTTGAATGTGTGGGCATTGAGGGGCTTCTCTGGGGCACAGGGAGAGTTTGTGATTTGAGACCTTTGAAGATTCTACTGCTGTGAATGCCCTTTACCCAGAGACCACCAGGACTACATCTGTAAGTTAAACAAGCGGGGTTTATTTTGCAGTCATGGGAGAACATACCCATGGGGAGTCGAGGGGCATCTTAGTAAGAGGGCGTTAGAAAGTACCTATTAGAGAATTTGTGCTTTTTGGATGATTTAGAGATGAGTCTATGGGGTAGATTATATTGGTTTCTTAGGCTCTCTATGAACAAGTACCATAAACTGTTGGGTAAAAAGATAGAAATTTTTATTCTTTCATATTTCTGGTATCTGGGAGTGTGAAACCAGGTGTCAGCAGAGCTATATTCTTTCTAAAGGCTCTAAGGAAAAAGTCCCTCCCTGTCACTTTCTAGCTTCTGTTGGTTGCTGGCAGTCCTTTTTGTTTATAGATGTATCACTCCAGTCTCTGCCTCCACCATTACCTTCTCTGTGTACCTGTTTCTAATCTCTGTCCATATAGGGACATCAGTCATTGGATTTAGGGTCCATCTTAATCCAGAATAACGTCATCTTAACTTTACTATATTGACAAAGACCTTGTTTCCATATAAGGCAACATTCTGAATATGGGTGAACATTTTCAAAATAGGCTTTAAGAAAATGTATGTGTGTATGTACATTTGTACGTATGCACATATGTATTTATGTATGTGTGTGTTTATGTGGTACTGACAATTTAACCTAGGGGCTCTCTACCACTGAGCTAAATCCCCAGCTCTTTTGAGAAAATGTCTTGCAAAGTTGCCCAAGTTGGCTTCAAATTTGGGATCTTCCTTCCTCAGCCTCCTGAATAGCTGGAGTTATAGGTGTGCACCACCATGCCCCATAGTAACAGTCTTTAATTTTTAGAGCATTTTCAGTTTCAAAGCAAAATAACTGGAAGGTAGAGAGATTTCTAACAACTACTGTCCTCACAACACAGACAGCCTCTTTCACTATGAACATCTTCCACCAGAATGGTCCATGTTTAATTTACCAGTGATGAATGTACATTGACACATCTTCATCATTAACTAGAGTCCATAGCCTACATTAAGGTTCATTTGTGGTGTTGTACATTGTATGGCTTTGGGCAAATGTACAATGACATGTACCATCATAATAATATATAGAGTAGTTTTATTCCCCTAAAAATTTTCTGTGCTCTCACTTTTTAATCCCTTACTCTCTCTTAACCCTTTGGCAGCCACTGTTCTTTATATCATCTGTATATTTTTTGTCTTTTTTGGAATGTCATAAAATTGGAATTTATATAGTATGTAGCTTGTTCAGATTGGCCTATTTCACTCGGTAATGTGCATTTAAGTTTAATTCATGTCTTTTTATGATTTTCCTTTTATTGTTGAATAACATTATTTAGTATAGACATGCCACAGTTTATTTACCATCCTGTTTACTAAAAGGAATCTTGGATGCTTTCAGGTTTTGACAACTATGAATTATGCTCTCATAAACATGTGTAGCATTTTTGTGCAGTTTTGACTCCTTGGATGAATGCCAAGAGACACAATTTAATTGCTGCATCATATAGTAAGAATTTTTTTTTAATATTTATTTTTTAGATGGACACAATATCTTTATTTATTTATTTTTATGTGGTGCTGAGGATTGAACTCAGTGCCTCACATGTGCTAGGCGAGCACTAGCCCCAGCCCCATGGTAGGTATTTTTAATTTTATAAGAAACCACCAGATTGTCTTCGTAAGTAGCTGTACCATTTTGCATTCCCATCAAGAATGAATGAGAGTTCCAGTTTCTCTACATTTTTGCCAATATTCGGCATTGTCAATTTTCTGGATTTTGGCTGTTCAAAAAGGCGTGTAGAGGTGTGTCACTGTTTTGTTTTTCCTGAATGATTTTAGGATGTGGAGCATACTTTTACTTTTTTACTTGCCATTTGTCTGTATTTGTTTAAGTGTTTGTTTAGGTCTTTGGCTATATTTTTATGGTATTTTTTTTGTTCTCTTATTAATGATCTTTAAGAATTCTTTGTATAATGCAGCAAAAGAAATGATTAAGTGTGAAGAGACAGCCTTCAGGATGAGAGAAAATCTTTTCCACCTACTCCTCTGACAGGGGATTAACATCCAGAATATACAAGGAACAAAAAAATTCAACAACAGAACAAAACAAACAAACAAACAAAAAAACAAAAGCAAACAAAAACCAAATAACCCAGTCAAGAAATGGGCAAAAGGGACTAAACAGATTTTTCAAAAGAAGAAATGTGGGCTGGAATTGTGGTTCAGCCGTAGAGAGCTCGCCTAGCACGTGCAAGGCCCTGGTTTCGATCCTTAGCACCATATAAAAATAAATAAATAAAATAAATATATTAAAAAAAAAAAAGATTATTTGTTAAAAAAAAAGAAGAAATGCAAATTGTTGATTGATTGCATTTCTTCTTCTGTGAAGTGTCTATTCATTTCCTTAGCCCATTTATTGATTATGTTATTTGTGATTTGATTGTATTTCTTCTTCTGTGAAGTGTCTATTCAGTTCCTTAGCCCATTTATTGATTGTGTTATTTGTTATTTGGTGTCAAGTTTTTTTAGTTCTTTATATATTATTGAGATTAGTGCTTTATTGGAGTTGTATGTGGTAAAGATTTTCTCCCAATCTGTAGGCTCTCTCTTTGCGTTATTTTTTCCTTTGAGAGAAGAAGCTTTTTAATTTGAATCCATCCCATTTGTTGATTATTTTGACTTTGCTTCTTGCATTTTAGGAGTCTTGTTAAGGAAGTTAGATCCTAATCCAATGTGGTGAATATTTGGGCCTATTTTTTTCTTCTATTAGCCATAGGGTCTCTGTTCTAGTGCCTAAGTTTTTTATCTACTTTGAGTTGATTTTTGTGCACAGGGTGAGAGATAGAGGTTTAATTTCATTTTGCTACATATGGATTTCCAGTGTTGCTGTACCATTTGTTGAATAGGCTATCTTTTCTCCAGTGATTGTTTTTGGCATTCTTGTCTAGTAGGAGATAACTGTATTTATGTGGGTTTGTCTCTGTGTCCTCTATTCTGTATCATTGGTATATAAGTCTATTTTGGTGCCAATACCCTGCTGTTTTTTGTTACTATAGCTGTGTAGTATAGTTTAAGATCTGGTATTGTGATGCCTCCTGCTTCACTTTTCTTGCTAATGATTGTTTTAGCTATTCTGGGTCTCTTATTTTTCCAAATAAATTTCATGATTGCTTTTTCTATTTCTATGAAGAATGTCATTGGGATTTTAATAGGAATTACATTGAATCTGAATAATGCTTTTGGTAGTAAGGCCATTTTGACAATATTAATTCTGCCTGTCTAGGAGCATGGGAGATCTTTTCTTCTGCTGAAATTTTCTTCAATTTCTTTCTTTAGTGTTCTATGGTTTTCATGGTAGAGGTCTTTTGTTAGATTGATTCCCAGTTTTTTGGGGGGATGGGGGCTATTGTGAATAGGTTACTTTTCCTAATTTCTCTTTTAATGGATTCATTGATGATGTATAGGAATGTGTTTGACTTATTGGTGTTGATTTTATATCCTGCTACTTTGCTGAATTCACTTATTCTAGAATTTTTCTAGTAAATTTCTTTGATCTTCTAGATATAGAATCATGCCATCAACAAATAGTGATAGTTCTTCTTTATCTATTTGTATTTCTTTAATTTCTTTCTTTTATCTAATTGCTCTGGCTAGAGTTTCAAGGATGATGTTGAATAGAAGTGGTGAAAGAGGACATCCTTGTCTTGTTCCAGTTTTTAGTGGGAATGCTTTCAATTTTTCTCCATTTAGAATGTGATGCTGGCCTTGGGTTTAGCATATATAGCTTTTACAATGTTGACATATGTTCCTACTATCTCTAGTTTTTCTAGTGTTTTGAGCATGAAAGTGTGCTGTATTTTGTCAAATGCTTTTTCTGCATCTATTGAGATGATCATATGATTCTTGTTTTTAAGTATATTAATATAATGAATTACATTTATTGATTTCTGTATATGGAACAAACCTTGCATCTCTCAAAAGAATTCCATTCGATTGTGGTGCACTATCTTTTAAATATGTTTTTGTATGTGATTGCCAGAATTTTATTGAGAACTTTTGCATCTATGTTCATCAGGGATATTGGTCTGAAGTTTTCTTTCTTTGATGTGTCTTTGTCTGGTTTTTGTATCAGGGTGATATTGGCCTCATAGAATGAGTTTGGAAAGGTTCCCTCCTTATCTATTTCATGGAATACTTTGAAGAGTATTAGTATTCATTCTTCTTTGAAAGTCTTGTTGAACTCAGCTGAGAGTCCATCTGGTCTGGGCTTTTCTTGGTTAGTAGGCTTTTGATGGTGTTTTCTATTTTATTACTTGAAATTGATCTATTTAAAGCATGTATGACCTCATCATTCAGTTTGGGTAGGTCACATATCTTTAGAAATTTGTTGATATCTTTAATATCTTCTATTTTATTAGAGTATAAATTTTCAAAATAGTTTGTAATTATCTTCTGTATTTCAGATGTGTCCATTGTGATATTTCCTTCTTCATCTTGTATTTTAGTAATTTGGAGTTTTCTCTTTGTTAGCATGGCCAGGGGTTTATCTATTTTATTTATTTTTTCAAAGAACCGACTTTATGTTTTGTCAGTTTTTCCAATTGTTTCAATTTCATTAATTTCAGCTCTGATTTTATTTATATCCTGTCTTCTACT